AGCTAGCCTGGCTCTGTCTGAAGGCAACACAATCATCCTGCTAGCACCTCTAAAGCTCACTTTCACTAACACATTATATCTTGTTCGTCAAATTTCTACAAAAAACAAAATGGAAAACTGCTTCCAGCCAAGAAAAATGGCAAATTGTGATTTTTTACAGTATTTTTATACATTAAACAAACAAAATATAATGTGTTAATTTGTGGGTTCTAGATGCGTAGTGAATTTTGTTACCTTTGGACAGAGCCCCACTCGCAGTTGTCCTCGTTTCCAGTCTGTGTGCCACGCTAAGCTAACTGGCTGCTTGTATTTACCATACAAATACAAGAGTGCCATTAATATTTCTCTCTACTCTCTGCCAGAAAGCCAACAAACATATTTCCCAAAATGTTGAACTATTCCTTTAACCAGAACAAAGTCGGGCAAACACTGCAAAACAGACTTTTGTTCTGCATCCATTATTAAGCACATAATATTAAATCATTACTAGAAAAGTCACCTGTAGAGTGAGTTCCTTCTGACCCTAGGCTGAGCTTGCCAGCCCGATCATGTGACACCATCCGAGCCAATCGCAGCCCTTCGTCCATTAGCGTTTGCTGTATGAGATGGCGACTCCAGTTGGCAGGGTTGGAGGTGTCAGTGTGGGGACGGGGGGATGGAGACTGGTTGCACTGTGAGCCGATGTCTAACAGGACAGACAGATTTGGGTGTAAATGCTGTCTTCAAACACTAAGGTCTTATAGAAACAGGCAGGAAGAATGTCTGGAGCACGAGACAATGATCTGCTGATCTGAGAGCAAACATAAATGTGAAGTCTTTACCATGTGATACACTGTCAAGGCTCTCTGCAGATAAGCTGTCATCATCTCCCCGCTGGTTCAAGCCCTCCGAGCCCTCCACTCCGAGAAGTGATGACACGCTCTCAGGCACAATTATCTAAAACATCACTGTCAATTTAGTGCCGATGAAATTACTTTAAATTACTGACAAGTGATGTGAACTTTGGCTATGTTTACACACAGTGTCGTGTGTTGGAATCAGACAGTCAGTAGGTAAGAAGTCTCACCTCGTATCTCGCTCTCTTCTGGGACAGTACGCTGTTCTCATCTGCATTTGTCCTGCAGGAGTAAAACAGGCGAGTCAGTTGAAAATGACATGAAAAACTGAAGGTCAATTTAAGAGTTTTTGTTCTGTAGAGCTTTTTAACTGCAACGTCTCCCTCAACAGTCAGAGGTTGCGGCTGCGGCTGCAGGCTCAGACGTAAGGAACCTTGATTCAAGATTTTCTTTTGTCAAATCAAGCCGATGTTTTTTATGCAGCAAGAGACAAGAAATCACACAGAATGTAACTTTTATTCAACTTGTAAAATGACCTTGTAGATCATCTTAACTAAAATAAACTATGTATTTATCAGAATTATTTGTATGCAAATGTATATTTTGGATGGGTGTAAATATTTGAATGCCAAGTGGTAATGAGCACAAAGGGAACTTTTGTCTTTATTGTTTTTAAATAATTTGACTTTTAAGACTTAAAACAAATCTAAATATATTAATATAATATAAAACAGATCAGGAATGAAGACACTGTTAAACAAGGACATTGGAATCACTAATCGTAATTAATGATATATCCTATGATAACTTAATGAGTAGTTTTACAAATATTTAGTAACAGTCTGTGCTTTCTTGTCACTTCCTGCCATAAACTCATTATGAGGGGCATTTATTTTATATGACAATGTTTTGTGCAAGTGAACAAACACATACAGTGAAGGTTTTGTGTATTCCTGTGCGGCTCCAATCTCCAGCTCATTATACTAACACTACAGAGGTTGGAGTTTAATTCCCACTGTGATCTGAACCAGGTTCATTGTGAAAATCAATGAAGTGGTGGGAAGATGACTCATATAAACCACATGGTACATGTAGAATATGCTAAATACAGCTATGAAATAATTTCATTTACATTTATTCAGATGTGTCTTTTTATAACGCGATGCTACTCTGCCATGTTGCTGTGAAGGGTTCAGACTTTGCTTTATTCTACATTAAAGAATAAAAAAACGACACTCCTGATTCCCTAAGAGGTTTTCTCCTCGATACAGAGGAGAAATCAAGACGCAGCAGTTGTGAGGTGTGTTGGTTATTGGTTGCTGGTGAGTAGATCCTCTCTGGGCAGCGCCCCTACCTTGCATGCTTTAGTGTGGAGGTGTAGGCACATTTTCTTGCCACCTGCCGAGCCAAAGAAAAGAGTTCCACCCGTCTCAGCAAAAGGGCATTGTCGCGCATACAGAACTGGGCTGCAGCTTCATTGATGATCAACTGAGGAGGAAAAGCACGGAGTGAAGGAGGGATGGACACTGTGAAAATCCCATGCAGACAAAAGAGATATGGCATACTTTTGTTTTGAAATTTATATTTATGTCTGATTAAAGCTGGTTCACAACGTGAGCCTCCCTTTACCAACAGATTATTGTAGGTATGAAATATGATGTGAGACATTCAAACACTCAATCTTTGTTCTTGTCTTTGGTGCTTTTACCTCATGATGTGTGAGCTGCTTCCCTTCTCTCCTCTTGGAGTCAAAGCGTCCATAAATGAGACTGTACTTCCGGATCTCTTCTTCTTTGTTCACATCCTGGGACCCCATTTTGAAGATGTGCCCCACAGTCTTTGCCATCTTCTTGTTCATCCTAAGCAAAGTCTTTACTTCTGCAGGATCTGACCTGGGTAGGGTCCTGAGGAGCCTCTCCACACTCTCCACCACCGCCCTCGCCGTCTCCCCATCCAGCTGGCCTCCGGGCCAGGCTGACAGGACCGCCGGGGCGAAAGAGGCAGAGGGGCTCGGAGACGTGGAGGGACCCGGGTGACACGTCGAGAGCAGAGGTGGGCTGGGCGGCTCCTCCTCTATCCCAGAAGCAGAAGCCAACGTGCAGTTCCCATCAGGCTCTGGGCTGAGCCAGTGTGGGTCCATGGGTGACAGTTTTTCCCTGTAGTGTGTGTCCGGTGGCTGTGGGGAGGCCTGGGAGCAGGGGCTTCTTGGACTCCCACTGTGCATTGGAGTAAGACACGCACGATCCTCCCTTTCACACGGAGACCCAGGCTGCCCATTGCTCACAGACTTCCTGGGCCCGCCTGCTGGTCCACTGGCGCTGTCCACTTTGAAGAGTGGGATGCCCCCGAGAGGAACGTTCGACACGGGCTGGCTGAAAAGGGCAGGGTTCGCCGCCCAGTCTCGGAGGGCCTTTTGCAGCCTACGCACATGCAGTGGCTTGGTGGCCATGCCAACTAGTGCCATGATCTCCAGAAACTCCTCCTCTGCTGCCTCACAGAGCTGCTGCACGTCATCGCCACCCTGCTGGATGAAGGTTTCATAATAGGCCAGCAGGTTGGCCCTCTGCAGCACCCGATAGAGCTGCAACTCCCCAAGTGTGCGTGGCAGAGACATGGCACACGGCACTGGAAAGTTTAGGCAGGAGAAAGGAAAGACATGAACCTGCAGGTGGAGAAATCCTCTACAAGTTATTTATTTAGATTAAGATTTTGCCACCTGGACAACACCTGGTAAAGGCTACCTGCTCCTAATTCTTCTATGTTGGTGAAGCATCAATAAAAACTGATGACTAGAGGAAGTTTGTGCATGTTTTGGAGCACTTTCCTCCACACACGAACTATTTTTTACGTATTTTCAAACCCTTATATGACTTAATGGTTGAGCATACATAGACCTCTCTTACCTTCCTCAGATCGGGTAGACGGATGTGCACAGAGACGTAATAAGGGGAAGGTGTCCCTCCTGCCGCCCGATGTCACAGGTCGTTACTCCCGGACTGAAACTGAACACATCACAAACTCATTTCGGTTCATCCGTAAAACAAAAAGCTACGTTACACTGAGACCACTGTAGAGTAGAAAACACTTGGATTATTGTCTCCAGTTCAGACACAACCATCGACCGGATTCCTGAGCCAGATGTTAGCCGACACAAAAAACACCACCCAGCTCAAAGACACATCGCAGTGATCCTGTTCGTTTCTTACCCTGTTGCCTATCGCCGAAAGCTTCCCCGGCGCAGATTGGCGTAGTAAATCCCCTTTGCGTATCGTACCTCGTCTGAAATCACTGGCAGAAAACCTCCTCCGGCGCAGCGTATTGGTTGCTGGCTGCCCTGTCTGTGTGGGCTGGAGAATGACGGGGGCGGACTGCAGCACGCCATCTGACCGAAAAAGAGCCTTCCTCTCCCGGTAGAGAGGCGGCTTTCAAATTGGAGATGTGGGTGGTGGTTGGTGGGGGCTTGAAATTAACCCCTCTGCGTCTTCAAGATTAGTCTTTTATGCAGAGGCTTTAGGGGGTTCCCACAGTTTTGCCATGTGAAAGACCCCCTGAACACTGTAGGCTCACAGACAGATGTGGGGTTTACTGTGTGTTTGTTCCGTTTATTTATGGAGCAGATGAGTGGTTCTGTTACTCTGAGAGTTCAGGTGAAACTCAGTTGTTTCCCCCCCAATACTTTTAAAATGTTTGTTTTTTTAAACTTAAAGGGCCAATTCACACAATTAAGCTTACAAAATAGCAAAAAATATCAATGTCTCAATGTTTCTGACCATCCAGGATGAGCATCTGCAAACCTCACTGCTTCCACTGCCTGTTACTATGGCAAATGTAGTTTTATTGCACTTTGCACTGCCAGTTTTATTGGGACAGAGGGTGTTGAATGGTGTACAGATTGTAAAACCCACTGAGGCACAATTGTGAGTCTTAATTTTGGGCTGTATAAATACAATTTGACTTGACTTGACAATACTCACATTATACACAACTCAATGCACCTTTAATTCATACATTTTTATTACTCATTACTCTTCATTTGTATAATTACCATCACACCACACACAGATTGACTGCATCAGTGGTTTGCTTTTCATTTAGCACCTATTCTTCTCTTTCAGTTGTAGGTTTCTACAATGCAGTAAAAGCCACCTGTCACCCAGAGTCCATCCTAAACATAGACTATACATTGTTCTTTGTGGAGAACGTAGGAGGCATTTACAGCGTACAAAGCACATGTTGTGTGTTGTCTTTGTGTTTTTGTCATCTTGAAGAATCATTTTACTATGAGACAATAAATTGATTATTTAAGATTTAAGGTCAGGCTGAGAGGGAATACACCACATGGCCAAAAGCACACTGTTGTCTGAAATGTAATTAGATTATTTTAGAATTAAGATTTACTTTAGGCCTAATTGAAACAAAGGGACCTTGTCGAAACCATATGGACAGGCTTGTCCAAATACTTTTGGACATATATAATGCTTTGGGCATTACTAAAGCATCTTAAGGGCAATTATTAAATATATATTTAGATAGATGAATTAAAAAGGTAAAGATATGTGCTACCCTGTAAATCTCATTTAACAGAATGGATTGCGTGAAATAGGATAATACTCGATTTAATAAAAATATAATAATAAATGTCCAGGGTTGTTGTTAATTATAGACTGTATACCTATAAATCAGTGGGTGGCAGTAGCGTCTTGTCTCAGTGGTTTGACTACAGGAAGCAGCTGAGGAGAAGAAGAAGAAGAGAGGAGGAGGAAGGAAGAAACTGGAAGAAAGTAGGAAAAGGAGCAGGAGAAGAAGAAGTGGGTAAAAAAAAAAAAAAAACACCCAAAAAAAACCAAAAAAAACAACAACCCGGACACCTGGCTGTCTGTTAACAAAACAAGGTTACACAATTATCCGAGAGGTATATATATGACTCTGTATGATGAATGAGTAATGGTTCGTCTCCTCACTGGACTCGTCCGGTGCCCAAACAAACCTCAATGTCTCGTCAACAGGAAGCAGAAACAGGCGTTCATGTTTCTGCTGCTCGCTCATGTTATCGGCTAACACTCGGTTTTAGTTGTTTGCTGGCTAAATGCGTTCACAGTCTGCTGTCGTTTAATCTCCGTTTGAGACCGTGTTTAGTCGACATGCTGCGAGGTTAGACAGCCAGAGAGGGAAGCTAATTGTAGCGCCTGTAGTCTCCTGCTGCTTCCTCATGCTAACAGCCTGCTAACATTAGCCGCCTTTAAAGGAAACTAACAGCTGGTTTTTGTTGTCAGAGTTGAGTTAATGTGAAGTTTAGTCCGTCAGCTTGTTCACCGGGCAGTGTGGGCCGCGTTGTATGCGCTGTTTCGCCGCTTTTTATCGGGTCTTAAAGGTCAAACATTTGTTCATGCAGCCCGTTGTTGTTGTTGTTGTTGTTGTTGTTCTTTGGCTAACTGAATTAGCAGACAACCAAGCACTTTAACTGGATGTAATCTGTGTTATACCATCACACGAGTGTTGAAGTTAAGTTTGATCACTTTAATACGGTGTGGACAGATCGTGTTCATGGAGCTGTTATAAGTTAATGATTCATGAATGTTCAGTCATGGTGAACTCTGTTGATCTCTTCATATCACTGGTAGCTGCAGGTGTAAGGTAAAAACTTTTGATTGTGTCGGTTTATTATAAGATTGTTTTCACGATTGATTAATCTGTCAGTTATTTTTTTTTATTTACTGTTTAGTCTGTAAAATCTCTGAAAATAGTGAAAAATGCCTGTCACAGTTTTCAGCCCAATGTTACTCAGTTTATGATGATATAAAGCAGAGAAACAGCCAATAGACTGAGAATATTTGGCATGTTTGCTTGTTAATTCACTTAAATGATTATCAATGTAGTGGGAAATTAATTTTCTGTTCTCTGACATATTGAGTTATAAATTCACCTCCTCTGATCTGTAGAGCAGCAGGGATAAAACCTTCTTTGGGAAACTATCTAGATGAAATAACCAGATGTGTAGATGTGTGTTTTGTGGCTAATCCAGTAAATTAAATATCTAAAAAAATATTGATAATTCACATTGAGGAGTCTTTACCACATTGGTCTATTTACACTCAGAGATATTAAACTGTTAGCTGCCGTGTTGTAAACGATATGGACCTTCTGGGCCTGTTTTTCCATGAACGTGTTCTAGTTCTCGTCTCACTTGCGTTGTAATATAAATGACTACAGAGAGAAGCATTGACTTCTGCTCACTCACGATGGGAGTGTAAGCATTATGTTGAACTCTTACGTTTTCCGTTGCAGATACCGACCTGGTGCAGGTGATGATGTGAGGTGTGTAAAAAGCCTTTTGACACCCGGAAGCTGCTGCTGATATGGTGGACCTGAGACTGACCCTCAGGAGCCCCCAGTCTCACTTTTTTTACGAGAGTCGGGGGAAAATGTTGCCACAGATTATAGATCTAGGCTATCATCTTCCATGAGATTTCGACTTCACGGCGCTTCAGTCAAACAGCTGTAAGGAACATGGAGAGAGAAGCAGCTGAGAAGGAGATGGATGGCGTTACGGACACTGACGAGGAGTTCCCTGACGGTGAGTCCGCCTCAGTGGCCAATTCTAGTCATTGGGAGGCCAGACAGACCGATGATGATGACTGCGAGCGGGAGGACAAAACAGCTGATCTAAATTCTCAGGACACCCCAAATTTAGCCACTCCCCAAGACTCTGAAATTGGCGAAGCAGAGTATTGTGGATCTACAGAGGCCAAAGAGGATACTGAGGAGGCTTCGGATGGGTTCGAGCATGACAGCACCGCAGAGCACGAGAACTTGCACGTTATAAATCAAGAAGAGGATGAAGCTGCGAAGGAGCAGCACATGAACGGGGAGTCTGGTTGGAGGAGCGAGGGAGCCGGAAGGAGATGCAAACTGAGGAGCAGTGGATCGGTTTCAGAGCAGAGCGGTCAAAGCGCTTTTTCCTCCATGCAGAAAGGCAATGTTATGTCAAGCGGTGGCCGGCACAAGCAGGCCCGCAGACGCAACCACCACCACCATCAGCAGAACCGAGGCCGCAGGCGGACAGGCAACCAGCTCGTCTTAGCTTTCAAGGAGATGCTGTCCGAGTCTGTGAGCTTCTGGTGCATCTCCTGCGTCCACATGATGATTGAGATTATCGTCACAATAACTCACAATTGTGGAGTCGGTGTGGAGACGGGAGGGATGAAACTTTACAACTTTGGGCAGCAGCTGTTTGTGAAGATCACAGATACAGCAGGAATGAAGGCAGACGCTAGTCGGATTCTGAAATGGACAAAATGCACAGGAGCGGACCTGGTGGATAAAATTGTTCGGTCAGTGAAGTGGGTAAAGACAGCTGCCTTATCTTGTTTTAGACTTTTCTGCGCTTTGGCTATTCTCGGTTCCCAGTGGGCAAAGGGTGTGGTGGTCCGCTTTGGTGGAGAGAGGGGAAAACGCTATTGGACATCTTTTCAGGAGTCAAGGTTTTGGAAGAGGGTGGCGTCCCTGCTGGAGAGAGTTAGAAGTAAGTTTAGGAGGGATGGACATGTGCCGCCGTCCAGCCCCGATTCACCCGGCAGAGCAGGGAGAGGCCAGCCGGGCCAGGAGCTGGAGAGACTGCTGGCCTTGGCTGAGGTACCAGAGGATGAGCTCGACCCCTTTACAGTGCTCGGCGTGGAGGTGCACGCCACTGAGGCCGAGCTGAAGAAGGCATACAGACAGCTGGCTGTCCAGGTGTGTGCGCAGTTCCAGCTATCGGATGCCTGAATTAATGACTAACAAACTGCATCTGAGGCAGAAATTTTCTCCTTTACTCATGCAACCTTTTCCTCTGTCCTTTCTCTTTCAGGTCCATCCAGACAAGAATAAACACCCACGAGCGGGAGAGGCATTCAAAGTACTGAGGGCTGCCTGGGATATTGTCAGTAACCCAGAGACACGACGAGAGTATGAGTTGTGAGTACACAAAAAAGTGTTTATCACAGGATTTGTATAAAGCAAAATGACACTAAAACAGATCTTCAAAAACATCTTCTTAGTAGCCTGCTTCTTTAAACTTTTGTAAGTTACACTGATACAAGAATAATTATTTTTAATGTCTATTAGAATTTAATATTCTTTTTAACATTTTTCTCATCCTCCTTTTGTTAGCCACTGAACGAGCCCCTAGAAATAGTTATAATGTATAGAACCTTTCTTAGGCCTATTGTTTTAAGATTTATAGCATTGAAATAATTCTGGTTTATGGGCCTAAAATTGCACATTGATTTACAGTGTGTATCATGTATCACCAACCAGTGTGTTTCGTTCCCACGCAGGAAGCGTATGGCAGCAACTGAGCTCTCAAAGTCCATGAACGAGTTTCTCACCAAACTGCAGGATGACCTGAAGGAAGCCATGAACACCATGATGTGTACCAAGTGCGAAGGCAAACACAAGTATGTCGCTAAACCCCCAGCACCATCATCAACTGAACCAGTGTCAACCGTTGTGTGTGCGTATTACACACAGCTGAATGGTGCCTCGTGTAGTAGACCTTCACCAGTCTTGTTTATGTGTGTGTGCAGGCGGTTCGAGATGGATCGTGAACCTGCCGAGGCTCGGTTCTGTGCCGAATGCAACCGTTGCCATAGTGCTGAGGAGGGGGACCTGTGGGCCGAGTCCAGCATGTTGGGCCTACGTATTACGTACTTTGCCTGTATGGATGGCAAAGTCTACGATATTACAGGTGAACGTCAGCTTTTTTCTAAAGATGATCTGCTCCCCTCATCGGTAACCAAACGATAACACACCCTGACGTCTGCATGCACTCCACTCAGTGCCTGTATTTACAGGTTTGAGAAAAGATTCAGAGCATGTGATCAGTTTTGATTCTGTCATGTTTCAGAGTGGGCAGGTTGCCAAAGAATAAGCATCTCTCCTGACACACACCGTGTGCCCTATCACATCTCCTTTGGTTCAAAGAACAACAGCAACTCCACACGACACAGGTACGTTCTTTTTATTCATATTTGGGTTGTTGTTTGGTGCTAAAGCACCTACCGTTCCATCCTCCTCTTCCTTATTTAGGCTTCAGTATACCCTTGTTGATTGAACTGATTTTGGCAGATAGTTTGGGGTATTGCAGTGTGTGAATGAAACATTAGGACACACTCATTTGTTTAATTAATGTTCTTTAATAAAATGCAAAAATCTAAATATAACAACTTAATTTAGATTCTGCTGGCATAACCTCTTACTTTACTGTGATTGATAAATTTCCCAGCATCTTGATGTGTTTGTGGTGCACTGTTGAAGAAAGAAAAAAACTCTTTGTAGTTCTAACAAAGAGAAACTACATTATCATCCCACCCCTCCTGCATAAAAGGTCTCTGAACTTCTCTGACGTTCACTTTCAGGACGCCCTCAGAGCACGCCACAGGTCCGACCAACCCCGCAGATTTGCAGGACTTCTTCAACCGCATCTTCAAGGGAGGACCTCCTAACGACATGGCTGCCAACGGGGGCTTCTTCCCCTCAGGTCCGCCCCATCACCAGCCTCCTGGTGCTGGAGCGCCCCCGTTCTCCCCTCCCCCGGGTCAGACAGGTTTCTACATGCCGGGGGGTCACCGGCCAGAGTCCAGCGAGACGTGGGCTGAAAGTGGCAAACCCCCCAGAAGGAGGAAGAAGGTCCGCAAACCCTTCCAGAGGTGAAGTCTGTTGACTTAGCAGTGTATCAACATAGCAACACAGGAACACAATAAATAATGGCCATGTTTGTCTCTCGCCTGCCTGTTGGCGTGCCAAGCTCTGAACTGGTGTTGGTAAGGCTGCGGTCAGGTCAGCCAGAGGAGAGTGAGATCATGAAGAGGAGCCTGTTGACTGAATACAAGTATTGAAGGAGGGTTGAAGACACGGCAGTGATGGTGCTTTACCTCTCATTTCACCTTATTTTTTTTTTTGTTGGTCTTTAACATGACTGTAGCCTTGGCATTGAAATCCTCATCGGGATGCTGTAATGAAACATTTTCCTTTCATAATTTCCTGCCAAATCCTGCAATGCATGATTTTATTCACTTACATTTTAACACTTCAGTTCTCTCACTTTTGTTGTTGATTTATTTTTATTTTTATATAAGGTTAGCTTTAAGGCATTGGTTCCAGACAGAGTGAAACTTGAAGAGTCGGACATCACTTTTCCTCGACATGAAAAAGATAAACTGGGCAGCTTCACTGTGTCAGTGTTACTCATGTTAGTGGCATGTGGTTCTAGATCTGCACCATATTTTAACAATGAATGGAAACCAGCTAAATGCATCACATTTGAACTAAATTTGCAAAAGCAGAACAGAAAAAGAACATTTTGAAAAGGCAGCAGCCAAGATGTAAAATCTAGACCTGAAGAATAAGTGAAACTGATAAAACAGCTTTCTTTGTTTTGAGATGTTTCTGGTTCAAACGTGCTGAAGTGTGGCTGCTGTTTGTTTCAGCTCCAGATCGGCGTTATAATTACTGCACATGTTCAAATCTAACAGCAGGAATGAGGTCGTGGTGTCTCTGTAATACTGAGCCCCAGCTGAGGTGTTTTGAGAAGGTCTCAAAACTTTAAAAGTGACACCTGGACATTTTGAAATGTTGATTTGATTCTTGTTGTTAAAAAGACCACCTAGAATTGATCTATACTGCCCCCTGTTGATTGACTGTGTAACCACATGAAGTGATGTTCACAGTTGAACTGATTTACATAGTTAGAAATGTAACAGTTAACAGCCATTTGAGTCTTAAAAGGATGTTATTTGATATTATGCTAATTTACAAATACTGAAGCAACCCTGAGCTGTCAATGCTGTCAAATTAATTTGTTTTTCTCCATCAGCATTGTTTTTTTTTTAGTTTGATCATTACTGACTTCACAGTAAGCCTTGTGTAAGACAACTGTAAAGATATGTTGCATTAGCAACATATGCAATATGTTAATTTCATATATTTGACTTGTGCAGTTGTTCAGGCCGCTACTGAAAACAAGACGTTCCCGTTGTCTACATTTTGAGACCATATTCATCAGGATCCTCCTCCTTGTTAAGTGCCATTTTATACGAGCTTGTTAAGCATGTTAAGCTTCAGTAAAAAGTCCACCATAGATTTGTTTCTAGCCGTCCTGGTTATTACATCCTAAATACTTTAATCTTTGTGTTTCAGTCTGCAGTGTCATCTCACTGGCTCCTGACCTACAATTAAAGAAATCTGACACTTAAAGCCTCGCAGCATGTGTTGTAAACTTGTGTTTTCTTCCACCTGCACATGCTTCAGCTTTCAAAATGCCATGGTCACATGTTCAGAAAGTCTTGAATCTAAACCACTGATTTCCTCAGTTTTACTGTACGTAACGACACGAAGGGGAAACAGGAGAACTGGCTGTATTTTGGGTTTGGTTTTTTGAAACGGTTCTTGCATAAAAATATCAATTTAATTTCCATCATACTTTAATTTAAGAAAACATAATTGTTATTGTTTACACCTGATATGTGAAGAGTGTGAGAGTGAAGTGTACAATGTGTGGTAAGGCTTTTGATGAAGGCGGTTTTTTTGTCAGTTGATGATGAAAAGTACCATGTTCAATGTTTTTTTTTTTTTTGTTCATTTGCACACCCTCCCCAGTAATAACATCACAGGGATTTTGAATAGTCATCAGTGATTTGATCCTAACCAGACTCCTCCAGCTGCAACTGAGTAGGAGGTGTAGCTCACTAAACTATGGGCTCATTTGCAAATTAAGATTTGTTTTTGGTAGAATCTGAATGTTAAATGAGTGACACATTTTTTTGAGAAACAGCATTTGAGTTGCACAAGCATTACACTCTGGAATAACCCGAGTATCATAAATATTTTATGGCATTGTATTGCATAATGTGGGTTTGTCTGGTAGCTTGAAAAGATGAACCTTTGTTGGAAATATTGTTTGAGTTGAAGCAGGTAATTAAGTTTCTTTTCATGTGTCAAATAGTTTTTCTCTTGTACTTATTTGACCAGTTTCTAAGACATGGATTGAGTTGTCAACCAAAATGGCCCTAGCTTCTAAATGAAACCATCTCAAAATGTGAAAACAGTCCTAATTTGAGCTTATTCTGGCAAAAAAAAACTAAACCAGAACTATGAGGACTTAAATTGTTTTTTTTTCAATCAGGCAGATTGTTACTGTGTGATAATCAGAAATAAAACAACAAAACTGACAACTGATAAATGTTTCATTCACAAACTTGGTTGATTTTTTTTCCAGCATTTTCTTCATATATCGTCAGATATCTAATTCAGTCCCTGTCTAGGAAACTGGATGCAGAGCTGTAACCACGTTAAGCAGAGTGCGTTGTTTTCCACACGTCCACCTTGACTTGAGAATGTTCAGTGCTGTATGTTAACGGTAGCAGTTTGAAGTCCAAGAAGTCAATGAAAGAGCCAACACTTTTGTTTTTGTTTTCAAATTTTATCACAGAATATGCAGAAGTATTGCAAAAAATATCTGACAATCATCAGGGTTTTTTGTAGGGAATTATGATGCAAGTTCCCTGGCTGGCAAACAGTTTTAAAATCTCACTGTTGGGTTTCTTTCCCCTGCTTTCTCTGGTTTTCAAAATAAAGATTATTTCCTATATGCACATTGTTGTTCTGTTTTACGCTCAGTATACATAAACAACTCCTCAGTTACTTAACAATGCATATTAAAGTCATTTCAAACAATACAGTGACGATGAAAGTATCATTGCAAACGTCTTAATATAATAATCTTGTTTCCGTCCTTTAGAGGAGTCCGTCAGCCTGAATAGGTCCCATCCTTCAAATTGGCTTAATATTTCATTTTTACTGTAAACCCACACTGAAAGGGGCTCTCTGTGTCACTGTTTTACCTCATATGGCTTTTCCATTCTCTGACCTTATTAACTAATAGTGCTATAGCCACGGAAAGAGGCCAGGACGTGTCTATCCCTCCGCTCCTTAAAAGGAGCTGTTTCAGAGAGGTGCAGATTCCTGCTTGATTTGAGTCTCATTCACTCACTTGACTTATTATTGCCTTTTACAGGTTAGACGAGGTGGAACATTTCTAATATCACTTTTCATAACTGCAATTTAGACTCAAAGAAAAATCCTTCAGATCAGTCAGAAGCAGAAGTGACGCCACATTACCTTCCCTCCGGCAGTGAAGTGTTCCTCAGCTGTCCAGCAGTGAGCACTGTGCTTTCTTTAACTAATATTATACCCTTTCTTTATGTGGCATAAAGCAACATTTAATAAATGATTATCAGGTCTGAGCAAAACAAAATTCACAGATAATGTTTAGTTTTTTGGAGCTGCGAGGAAGAAGGCAACAACTTGTGACTTGCAGAAGTAGACAGTAAAACGTTCTTGTGATTTAACTTTCAGCTTTCTAGGACATTGACCCATTTAGGCAAGTCCCTCTTGTCTGATGAGATATAGATAAGTGGTTTCCAAACATCTTCTGTCAATCCACCCTTTGACCTCCACTCCTTTCTTCCCTTTCAAAACAGGAGCTAATGTTCTCTTTTGGCTCTCTGAACAAGTCTTGCTAACCTGAATCTCGACGACTGTGAGGATCACAACACTCTTGTTTGGTTACTGTTACTTAAATTACTAAGATTCATTCAAGTCTTGTTCAGTTCCATGTTTTCCCCTGGTAATTCACCCCCCACCTCAACGCACGGCCTCTAGAGCCACTGATTAAGACCAAACATTATTTGGAAATATTATTGGGCTCAGACCAGATGATCATCTTGTAATATATATATATATACACACACACTTGCAAATATATCTGGTTAAAAACAATTAAAATATTTCATACTGTACCCCCACCCTTCTCTCTCTACTAACATAGAAAACATGAATACGATCATGTATGCAGCAAGAAGTGCATCATAATTACATCCACAGCTCTTTCAACTACAACTTGCCTTTCAGACCTCCCATGACACTTTGGAGCTGAGAACAGTCTCGATACGCCACCAGGCCGCCATGGTTGGCCCAGCGGTCTGCCCCTTTACACTCAGCGTAAGGCTGGTGGTAGGTCAGTTCTGTCTGCTGATCCCGTGCCCCAGAGCTGGACTGTAGACACTTAGCCAGGTCCACCACTCCCCCTCCGAGGGCTCGGAGCAGGGCGTGAGGAGCGCAGGAGTCCCACTTAAAGGTGCTTCCCTCTGAGAGGACGTAAACATCAGCCAGGCCCTGTATGACACACAGGATCTTATAGCCGGCTCCAGAGGCGTACACCAGCTTGTCAGGGCCGCAGAGGGAAGTCAGGGCTTCCTTTACCACCTGCTTCTCACTGGAGCTCAGCACCACAGACAGCCTGCCTCCAGGTCCATCTTTAGGACGGGACTCTGAGCAGGCGCTGACGCCGTCACAGGACACCCCCCAGAAATGCTTCCCCCTCCAGCTGTGAATGCAAAAAAAAATTATAAAAATAGCGATTATAAGCTGGCCACGCAGTCAGTTCTCTCTTCTTCTCTAATCTTGGTTACATATTTATTCATAAGGTTTCGGGTAGTGAAGCCACCTCATCATCTAAACATTCCCCACAGTGTCCTGATTGATCTGACATGTGGAGTACCTGGTCAGACTCAAACTGGAAAAAACTGTGTTCACAATGTGACTTGTGGCCGTGTGAGGCAAAAAAAGAGATCCAGAGATAAAGGCAGAGAGAGGTACACACAGTACAGACACATGAAAGACTATGATACCTATATGGCCCTTTCAGACATGCAGCACTTTATGTAAATGTCATGAAAATGCTCGTGTCCAAATAAACCACAAGTCACGACTGCAATTTCACTAGTTGGGAATATAATGTGACATGCACGCTCATCATTCAGGCAGTAAAGAATTCAAACATGGTTTGATTCAGAGTCTGATGGATTGTTTTAAGTATGTATATACAATCATTGTGGTGGAAATACACTCAGTGGCCATTTTATTAGGTACACTTACACAATACAACTGTTCTGCCATAAAGTCTACCTTTATGATGTCAATAATGTCATCGAGGTGTTAGCATTGAGGTCATAGTTGTAGTCAGTGTTGTACTGGACTATAATTATCTTAAGAGGTGTTTGTAGTATTCTGGCCCCTCATGTATATAAATAGGAAGGACGAAACATAATGTAGTTTAGTACAACACAACCTTCAGCAATAAACATATAAATGAGTGTAAACATTTCTTACATCAACTCAAAACTGAACATTATAAACTATAAACTAAAGACCGATGTTATGGCGGAGCTGCTCTATTAGATGGTATTAGACTGTAAAGGTGTGCCTGATAAAGTGGCTACTTTTGAGCAAAATATACTTTAATACTAATGTTATTGTTAACTTTTTGCTTTTTTAAATGGCAGGCAAAACAAATAAAAATATAGAGACACTTAGATATGATTAAAGTTTCATAACAGTCCGATCGTCATATAAATTAAATGAATATGAGATATGAAACTTCAGAAAACAAAGGAGGCCTTTGAAGTTGCACATAAATGCAGCGACTTCTATTTGAATGTTTAAAGCTGTCAGAAACTCAGAGGCAGAAGAGGAAATGTCTCTGTGGTTTCTGTTTTTAAACGTACCCTCCACCTGCTGGATCTTTGTAGTTGAACGGCTGGTTGATGACGCCCATGACGGGCTCGCCTGTGCTCCGGAGATATACCCCAATTAAGACCAAAGCACAGTGTAGACCTGAAGGAAACAGGCGGCCCTCCTCCAGCACCTCCTCCCGGCCCTCTATGTACTGGCTGGTGGCATCTTAATAAAAGAAAAACAACAACAGACAAACAGTCGTCACTGAGGCTCGACTCTGAGTGTCTGTATCAACTCACTGCGGCAGACTACAGCCAGCCTCTCACCTATGGGGTCGATCCAGATGCCGAGCTCAGAAGGGCTGAGGGGCACCTCAAGACCATCTGTGTCGGCGCCGATGGTCGCTGGGTCTTGGTGGATCGCTCGAGCCAGCAGAGACGCCGCTGTGTGGTCACCGTCCAGCACCGAGGCCAGCAGCGTCGCCGTCTCCTCCTCCGTACCGCACACCGTGACCGTCACGCTCTCCCCTGGTGACACAGAGTCAGTGAGGCTTCATCTGATTACAACAGATGACTTTAAATATTTACACAGGCTTTAAATATTTGGACAGTGACACTCTGATGTGTTGGTTTTATGTTCAGATTATTTTAAATGAAAGATGATTAAATCACTGTGAGGTTCAAGTGTATATGTAGTCCTTCTAGTATTTACTCTACCCCTATGAAGGTGGAGCGTTATTATCATCACCAGAATAAGAATCTGAATCAGAGGTTTATTATTCACACACAAGAGTTAGGGTTATTTGTGTAACGTTGTGGTTCGAATATATACAGCACTTCTTAATTTTATGCAGTCGTATTTTAACAGATAAAAGCTTCTATATTCCTGCAGCAACAACAATTCTTTTAGTTATTATCAGGCTCTCTGTTTCAGTTTATCACTCTGAGCGATCAGCTGCACATCAGCACTTTGCTGTAAATACCTAAAACGCCGCACATTGTTTAGATCTGTGGTTTCTGTCAGTGGCCCTAGGCCTCACAGGGGGGCTGCCCCTCAGTGTCAGAGTCTCTGGTTCAGACAGATAGGGAGTGATTAAAGGCCCAGTTTGTACCTGGTATTTACATGTATATGGGGTGATCTAAGTACGTCAGTTCAGACCCGACATTAAAAAGCGTCTCCACCACTTGTGACCGCTCTTTAGGCAAACAAACACCACAGGGCTGCACCTTGTTGACCTTATCGTGCCTTTAATGAATCAGTTTTATCTTTTTCTTTGGTGTCATGGGTTGGAAACCTTTCTCCTAAGAACAGAAAGTCCCTAAACCAGATTGTTAACTGGTCTAGTTTGAGATGTTAAACCAGAATCCCTGTACCGCAGACAGTTACAGCGTATAACCGGCTCCATTTTAAATGACGTCTCCCACCCTTTGTACAGTTCATTTCAGCTTCTTCCTTCTCGACGGATGTTTGTAGTCCCAGGATGTAGAACAAAGAGGTTTAAAAACAGCTTTGTTCCAGCAGCTATCGTTCAGATCAACAAGCTGTAGTAACACAGAGTTTCTATTGTTTTTATCTGCTTTTTTTTTTATTCTAGAGGTTATTTGTCTGAGTGGTGTTTCATTGATCTCTCTTTGTAAGTCCTGATTTTTAAAGCCTGGAGCACTTTAACCTTCATCATGTTTGTCTACTGTCTGAGCTGTCTGTTGTTTTTATATTGCTGTCAAGAGGAATACATACTTACTGCAAACCAAATCTACCCGTGGGTACAAATAAAGTAACCTGGAATCCTTCCACACTAAACTCCTCTATGAGCCTGAGCCACTTGTTTTAACTGCACTGTCAGCAGCACTGCCCCAGGGGAAAATTTGCTGTAGGGATCCAGTTGACTCACAGAAACTAACCAGGTACAATACCTGGCCCCATGTTTTCTGTGTTGATTACTTTAAGTTCATTTGATTACAGCTTTATATACGAATATGTTCCATTTACCCACAATGTCAACAAGAGCTGAAATGAATTGTGGATCCACAAAAAATTAATCTGCAACTATTTTCATAATAGATTAATTGTTTAGGACCGGTTTGTAGGATTTACAAGTGGCCACTCGCCTACCAAGTGTGTAGGAAAACTACAGTGGCCGTGAGAAAGGCCCTTTATAGAGCTCCTAGAACGCCTCGACTACACAACTACAAACTAAATACTAAAAAGACCTTAACGTCCTTCACATCCAAAGTCAACAAGAGAACGTGAACATGTAGAGTGTTACGTGTGTAATATCAGGTACTTACCAAGCCCATTTTCAAACTTGTTGGACTCCTCTCCATGAATGAAGCCAACCATCTCAGGGAACTGAACAGAAGCACAGACAGGACATGATTACAACAGTCCATACAGGACTTCTACCTGAGCAAGGCTCGGGTTCAAACCTCTTTCCTAAACTCACTGTATCTATATATAGAAAAATCTACAAGGGGAGGGAGGAGGTCGAATGAACTATATTAATATTTACAAGCTCAAGTGTACTAGTTCCATGTAAGCTATAGGAACACCCATATCCAAAGATCCAGAGAGAAAGAGTGGGAGGAAAGGTCAAACAAACTATTTACATATTTATAAGCTATAGGAAAGCCAAATACGGTTTCCACAAAAAACAAATATCTCCTTATTTTATATTTAGAGAGAAGCTCAAACGTGCCCCACACAGCACATCTACTGACTGCCTGAGACCCCGAAGCTCTGAGCAGCATCACTGGGGATGAAATATATGAAATATAATATATTTGAATATATTTCTGGCTCCCTGATGGTCTTAATAAGTCGTTAAATTGGTTGCTAGTAGCTTTATAGAGATAACGTCACCAAGAGGGTCTGAAAACTTGCTCAATCTAGAGAGAAAGTCGCCAAGTTGATTGATCTTGTGTGTGCAAGCATGACTGTAACTGACTGTAAGTTACAAATGACTGTAGCATGACTCTTTTTAATTTAAAAATATAATTATATTGTTTTTATTGTCCCAGGGACAAAGGGACACCCTTCGAGCTCTGTACCTGAGCACCAACATCATGCCGGATCATCTCCTGGATCACCACGTCGGCCAGCGTCTTGAAGTCCTGGACGAACTTCTTGTTCTTATCATCTCCAGTCTTCTCCTGTACGAGGAGCTGAAAGAGGGGAGCCTCCTGCCTGCAGACCCGAGCCACGTTAGCCGCTTTCTCAGCCACCCGGAGCAGCAGCCTCAGCAGATCAGCCATGCCTGAACAGAGGAGAAGAAGAGACGGTTCGGCCAACACAGAGATGTAAACTGTGTGCGAGAGAGAAAAAGAGACGAGGCAGGTCACACGTTCACACACTGAGCTAATTATATCCTCAAAATGAAAACAGGGCATTTCTGAAAAAAGACGTGTGTGTGAGGGAGGGGTTGTGGCTTCATGTCTTTGCACATGAAGCAGCACAGTGTCTCTGCTTAGGTCAAAAAAAAGATTATCAGCTCACAGTCCCTCTCCAAAAACACTGATCTATTTCTAAATAATTATTTTGACAGTATGCAAAACTGCTGCATTTAATCTCATAGTAAAAAAAAAAAAAAGGGAGAATAAAAACACCAAGAAGCACAACAGGGTGTGAATAAAGAGTGCCACCCACACACTGCTGAGTGCTATTAGTAATGTCAGGGGAGGATTACAGGGGCTTTATGGGATGGAAAACATGGAAAATACACGTCAATGTAGTTGTAATGACGTGTAACAGCAACACAAACTAATTAACTCCAATGAGCTATAAATAAACTACATTCAGCGCTACTGCTCTTACATTCCCGGGATGAAACAGGTAGTTTAGCCATTTCCTGAGGTTAGTGCAAATGTAGCCAAAAAACCATTCACACCACCAACACCACACAGTGAAATGAGTGAAACCTTACCAAAAACCCAGGTTACACACTGCTGTTTCCCTCCCGGCTGTCGCTCTCGGTAGCTGCGTTTCTTTTTCCGCCCCGAAAAGTCGCTAAAACGCGGATAATTGAGTGTGAGAGGACGCAGAGTTTGAGTAAAGCTGCGGTATTAACGTGTTAATTAACGCTAACGCTGGGCTCGTCTGCGCTGCTTTATTTACGTCAGTGCGAGTTTCCTCTCGCAGGAAGGGACGGTCTCCTCCTCTCATCTAGGCCGCCCAGCTTAAGGTGCGGACGGGCGCGTCACCCGAGAGAGCACGGTGAGCTCGACAAGGAGCGGACAAACAGGAAGCGAAGCCGCGGTGCGTTCACGTGCAAACGCGAAATTCAAACTTCCTAGGAAATTATAGGGAGGTTTAAAGTACACTTCAGTTAAATAGACCCCTATAAATATGCCTACCGTGAAATAGAATCGTATAAAGTATTTAATAAGTTGTATTGACGTAAACTCCACCTGTCACCCATTTTATGCGGTTGAGTGGGATATGTTTGCTGGTAAAATGGGACGCTTTATTTATGTATTTGTTATTTATTACTCATCATGCATATGAGCAAACAATGCAAAATGTTTATTCAGATATGTCTATTTTGTACAAATGCCTCCTTACTTGCATTTAGCTGATTCACTGTATGTTGTTCCTGCCAGTGAATACATGAATCACGAGTCAGCATACAGTAGTTAGATGGACATGGATAATAAGCTGTAAAAAGTGATTAGACTTCATTGAATTACAAGCTGGAATATTGCTGTTTGATTAAAAACATGTGATCAGAAAATTAACTCAAATGAAGAAATCGTTGAATTACTATAAGAGTGTAGCCTAAAGAACTCTTGTTATTGTGTTACAACCATGGAAATATTTTATTATTATTATTAGTATTATAACTTATTATAATACATATATTGACAAATAATTACTGTTTATGACTAATTCAGCAAATTGTTTTATGCTTAAAAGACGGTGCTTTAATCTGTTTTTTTTCAAATCTGTTCTGACTATATACAATCTTCTGGTATATAAAACTCTACCACATAAAATACTGTTTATTTTGTTGGACTTTTCTCTACAACAAACAGGAAAATCAATCAATATAACTGCTCACAATGAAATATATGATGTAGGGCACTAGCAAGTAGACGTGGCTTTGTAGGGGTCAACCAATCAATTGGTATCAGGTTATGGCCTTGGTGTGGAATGGTCTTGTAAATAGTTGAATTTAAGTTAGATTTTTGTTTTTGTTTCATTTGAAGAGGCTAAGACCAGAATGCATAATACATAAAAGGTAGAAAAGGCTCTAGGAATATAACTGACATGTAAATAAAACCAAAAAACAACAATAACATACTCTGAGACAGTCAAAGTGACATTTTATGACTGGACTACATCAGTGTTTACAACCAGCAACTTAGATCGTATGAAGATGACACAGACCTCTTTTAAGAGAATAAAAACATTACTTTATAATTCAACTGCTACCTCGCTTTTAAAATTTTTTTAAAGGGTCATTTTAATATATGGTCAATAAACATCAATATATGTGAGTAGTTGCAGTGGTTCTTCTCTGCATGTGAATCAGAGAGCCCAGAAACTAGAAGGGTGGTGGCTTGTTGTCAGGAAACATATTATACAAATTTCCAACCCAAATTATGTTTGGTAATTAAGCCCCAGTAATCTTCTCTTCAGATGAAAGAAGAAAGCGGAAACAGTCGTCTCTGCCTCTGTAGAGCTCACTGTTGTGGATGTGTAGTGTGTATTTGGGCAGGTATTTTAAGACTGACATTGTGTTCATGTTAGAGAGAGCATCCAGCTTTGGCTGTTGCAATATTATGAACAAATTCTTACTATGATGTTCTTAATATATTAATATCCTAACTCTTTAGTTAATTTCTTTAAAAGGGATGTCACAGCTCAGCAAAAGCCTTCCTCAGTATCTCTGTAAAACCTGAAACCACAAACACAGTGTTGAGTGCTATCAGCACTGTTACCATTATAGAGGCTTTACATTATGTTCTCTGTGGAACCTAAATAATGTCAATTCACTGTTATTGTGTTTCGTGTGAGTCTAAATAAGTGTTTTGTCATTGTTTCACAGCCAAAATCCTTAGCACAATCCTTTGTATAACAATAAAGCTTGTCTACACATTCACAAACGTTAACTTCTCACACTGTGTTTGTTTCTCAGGTTCACAGAGGGTGATATGCACCTACAGACTTTGAAATTACTTCTAAACATTATTTCATGAGCTCAGATGTTATTGATTTTTGTTTGTGCCCATAGACATGCTTCATTTTAGGCAAACATTGCAGTCTGTAGGCATTTAGCATTTTATTTCACTTCATATGAAGTACTCAACATGCAAGACATTATCTGGAAGTAACCAATAGTATTGAAGTTTGCAAGACTGAGAGTGGACCCTCACCACAGCGGAGCCGACAAACCGCAAATGGCAGGGAAATGCATCCACTACACTAGTTCAAGTACTCACACATATAGGAGAAATGAGACACTTGATCACAGTCAAATGACAAATGAAACATTTTTAAGAGATGTTTTTTGGTCAAGGCTCTGACTGCTGGTATCCATTAGTGGTCCATTAGGAAATGCATGGCAGAAGGCTTTGTGTGGTTGATCAATACAGTGTAGTGTCCACAGTAAAGAGGGCGAGGCAGTCAACACACTGCTGAAGAATATCAGTGGTACCCAGGCTCCTTACAAGACAGAGCAGTTTCTTCAGATGGCGGTAAGAAATACTAAATGTTTGTTTTTATACATTTGAAATGTATTCTTGATTATCTTGATGAGTAATGTAAGTTAAGGGCATGCATCATGTTACCATGTATTTAATGTATTTAAAACATACAGAAAGATAATTATCTCCATCATGGCAGCCGTCATGTGGGAGCAGCACATTTGAGTGTGAAGTGGGAACTGATTTCAATTGTTTGGTGCAGGTTTCAGAGGGGGATATGTCAGACCTGGAGAGTGGCATGGTCAATATTATCAGAGTTTTCCACAAATACTCTGGTCACAAGTGCAAGCTGAGGAAAGCAGAGCTCAAAGCGCTTATTAACAATGAGATGAGTCATTTTATTATGGTAAGTTATGGAACTGAAAGAGTATAAATTGGCATTGTTTATGGCTCGTGATAATTAAAAAAATACTTTTAATTCATTGTCCATCGCCTGCAAACGTTTTATTTTATTTCAATTTTCCTGCTGAACAGAAAATCCAAGAGAATGAAACTCTGGATGAGCTCTTTGCGGACCTCGACCAGAACGGAGACCTGGAGATTGACTTCAAAGAGTTCATCACCCTCATCGCCATGGTCACCTCAGCGTGCCATGAACTCTTCATCCCGAACTACCATAATGATTAGTTAGTTAGGTTGTTTGTTTAGATCCCCATTAGCTACTGCATTGTCACAGTAGCTACTCTTCCTGGGGTCCTCTTTCGTATTCTTAAACAATACTTCTATAACAGAAACTATATCTGTACACATCCATCACATTCATATTCACTATGAGACACAATACACAACACAACACTAAGACACCAAAGCCTGTATACTACATACAATAGCTCTATAAAATAATTTAATTTCTTACATAATTAAGACAAGAAATCACGTTGCATCTTATAATGTTTACTCATTAGTACTTATTAAAAATTTGAGCATCACAGAAAATGTCTGATTTGTTTATGTGGGACTGAGTGATGTACTACTGAGTGTATATGAACAAGGTGTCTGATAAGATTTTAACCAAGATGGATCTTTGTTAGAACTTCTGTTTAGTTTTGTATAAGTTTGTTGTATAGAATGAAATGTACATTGTACTTAGTTGTCCGTGAACATTATTTATGCCTGTTATTATTTTAAAGGCTACAGACAGTCATTGGAAATTAGCAGTAGCTAAAAATGCTGTGATACATTGTACTGCGGTGAATTGTTGAATGCAATTATCTGTGTATACTGTATCTGTCCCTATCAAATAAACATGAAATTAAATGAAAATTAAGGACACAGTGATACTGGATGTAGCCAATATCCTGTATCTCTAAACAAACAGTCTGAGCTGGGCCACCTTGTGTCAGGACAGCAGCAACAATTTACTCCTGCAGATGTAGACATGTAACGTGTCCCATCTAGAGGCAAGACAAATAACGGTGATATAACATCTATGAGTCTAAACTGCTGCTAAAATGACTTTTCTTCCCTTCTGGTGGTGTTCATGGCAGGTTAAGGACTGTTCTGACAGTGACCAATCAGCTCCCCCTGGGGGAGAGCCATAGCCTGCTACATATGAATTACACAGCACTTCTAGGAGGTCCTTTACGTCCAGAAACAACACATTTCTTTGTCTCCCTGGATTCTCTGCTAGTAAATCTTTCTCCGATAAAGGCAGCATTTCATGTCACATTTATGAGTAGCCGTTTTCTATCTCACGATTTTTATTCACCATAGATTCACCCTCTTAGATTACTTTCCATAAAACCCAGGATCTTATTCCAGGCATCTTCCTGGGCAGCAGCGTGGGGTGTGAGATGACCTCCCCACAGAGTTATCCCTGCAGGAGAAAGAACGGCATTACAATTAATATTCAATATTACAACGAACAGTCTCATATAAAAAATTTAATGACAACAAAACTCCGGGATGGGGCTCACGCTTTTTTGGTTTGACGCTCCACAGGGATGTTCTTGAATTTGGTGTGTATGGCGGTTCAATCAGGTGACCAGCACCCGGGTACGACAGACGGGTGAACAGCTGGGATTTACCTGCAGCCCTCAGGGTCTCCTCAATCTGATAACCAATAACAAAGTGCTTTAACAACCACCAATAACTGTACGGTGAACAAAAAAAACAAAACTGTTTGAGAAATATCTATTACTAAAAAAAAATCTATCTACCAGGTTTGCATTCTCTATGCTGGAACAGCTCAGGTCATCTTCACCCACTATGTACATTACTGGACAGGCGAGGCGCTCAATCTGCAAAAACACAAAATGTCAATGATACAAAATATTTATACGTGTGTGTGTGTGTATAGTCAGTGTGCTGTGGTGGATTCAGGGGGCAGGATGGTGGTTTCACATCACCTTCACTTTGCTCTCAGAGGAAAGGTTAGCAGGCAAGGAGACGTCTCGGAAACTGACGTGCCCTTGATCATCAAACGTCCAATATTTCTGTTCACTAACAAAGAGAACAGAGAAAAAACGTATCAGAACAGCTGTCTTACTAGATCTCAACCAATAAGACAATGAAATTAAAAATGAACTGTTCATTTATAAAAAATAAGTTAAATAAGAGTATTTTAGTCTATAAGCTTACAGTAAGTATGACACCTGAAACAAGCCCCAATCAGCCCACAGGGCTGTCTTAAAAATAATAATATGCCATTATTATCCTGCAACTTTAATTACCATTTACCTTTCAAAATCTTCTGTCTTGCCATCTGCATCTGAGAGCTTGGTGGTACTTCCTATGGGGCCATTGATACAAATCAAACAGGATGGCTGGAGAAGAGAACATAAATTGTTGAAAGTCAAAGAGAACTTCATCCTACAAGCTGAAACTTAATAAAGTCATAATTAACATTCTGCAGCTAGAGATGTAGTATACTTTTAGACTGATTCATTCTAAAGTAAGAGGTGTTATTTTTCACGTACAAGGAGCTATGTATCGATCCAACTGTAGATTAATAAATAAATGTTCAGACGTAGACCTCTCTGACATACCTTGACACCGGTCTGAGTGGCAATTCGAAGAGTCAGGTAGACTCCAAAGGAGAGACCGATGATCCCAATTCTGTTGGCGCAGACCTGCTGATGATCTTGAAGAAGGTGAAATGCTGACTGTCCAAACAAAAATATCATTAAAGTCAGCTTTTTTCTTTAAAGTGACAGGTATACATAGTGCAGAAAGAAAAAGATGTAGTGTAGGACATCTGCATCTTATCTCACCTTGAAATATGAATCACCAACATTGATGCGGTTTTGTGGGCCGGGCAAATCTCTGTGCCCTATGTAGGCAAGGGACAAGCTAGCATAGCCTCTGGAAGCAAACAGGGCGGAGCGGTACTCCACCAGTCCTCCACCCATTCCCCACAGGTCCAACATGGCTGGAAATGGGCCGGGGCCTACAGGAAATCAGTACAGTAGGTGCTGTTCAGAGGACACAATGTTTCCACGCCAGTCTTGAAACTTGTGAGTGAATGCTTCAAATCTTGTGCTCACCAGGCGGTAAAAACAATGTCCCTACAACTCCATCCTGCCTAATATCTATTCTCTGTACGCCCGGTGCCATGTACCAGCGCTCAGTAGTTACTGCAGCAAGCTCAGTGCTCGGTCTCTCACTGGGTGAAACATGGCCCTCCAGTAAGGACATGTGCACGACGAATGGAGTCTCTACATTTTTCTTCCTCAGCCTGTGAAGAAGAGCACATTTCAGTCAGCGAACATGTTTAGTTTTAGTACTACAGTAACAAGCATTTTAATTTGTGTGACAGTGCGACTCCTGTAATGCTTAAGATGTCACAAATGTGTGACATCATTAAATAATTAACAATTTTTTGGGGGCTTTTATTGCCTTTGAATCGAAATATGGCTTTAAAATGACCACTGTGTTCACTCTACATTAGTAACAGGGTTTAAGTATAGGTCGATGCTACACGTGTATAAGACAACAGATGGTTGGGTTCGATGCCACGAAACATTGATTTCTTTAGCTCTCGGTGAGCTTGTTTTCATCACCTGCCTCAAACCTTCTCTTCCACCAGGAGCCGGCTGCAGTCCCCAGAACAGTCCCATCGGCTCACAGCCTGAATATGAACCTCCGACTGAATGATCCCTGGTCACTGTTGAGGGAACAGAGAGGGAAGGAAGGTTACCAACTGCCTGCATAAAAGTCTAAATGGTTAAAATATTTCAACTATAATTTAATTTCAACTTTACTTTACACACACTTTATTCAGTTTAATTGCTCTTTTGCTGTCTCTGGTTCAAATATCATTTTAGTGACTGTATACATTTTTAAATGAGATGTGACAGTACCTGCTCTGACACTGGTTGTGCAGCAGCAAAGTATGAGAATATAAGACTAAAGCTGCAGAAAAATACAAAATGTTTTAATGTCACACTAATCATGGTGTTAGAACCAGTTTTTATTGTGTGTCTATTGTGTTTTCTTTCAGCAATTGTACAAATTAATATAATAAACTTGTGGTCTTTGCATTATCAGGGACTATACTCTACTACAGGAACTCACAGTTGAGAGTGCCATCTGCATTTGTTTTATAATGTGCGAATGCCTCCCACAGGTCTCCATCCTCACTGTGCATTTGTGCACACACTGTGACAGGACAGTGTGGAGGCAGAAAACGTCCTTTAATGCTGATCTGTTCATCTACGAGGGCGCGAACAGGAGCAGCGGTCAGTAGGGGGGCTTGTCTATAGCTGCTCTTCCACCGGACTCCACCTACGGGTAGAAGAAAAATATACCTTGAATTATGAACAAAAGAGGTATTAGATTTTGTGTCATGTATTAGAGGGCTCATAAAGACCCAACAGACCTTTGCTCAGGAAATAAATTACACAAGGTTTTATAGTTCTGCTAAAGATATCTGCTGCTTTCTGTTAATGAATATTCACCAGTTCTATCTCTACCAAACTATACCTCCACCAAGGCAACAACACAAAATGTGGAAAACACTGCATGCCTTTGGCAGATGCTTTTTGTTCACAGCAGCTTACATGTTTTCCCACACACACACACCTATCAGGAGGAATTCTGGCTTCATTGTTTATACTGTAGTTCAAGGACAGTTTTGGACGGGAGGAGCTGGGAATGAAATCACTAAACCCACAATTAATAGTGTGCTTGGCTAATATGTTTCTGCATCTTAATGCACACATTCATAGCCAGTGAGGAGACACGTGTGCCTGTAGTGCAGTAGTTCATAAGAGAACATGTTTAAAAATTATTCATCTTCAAATGTGTGCAACTTTCCTTTTAAGACGGTTTAGAAGCGTAAACTAATAACTTGTTCTTTGACCCGTGGTCTAACTCTAGAAGTGTCTCAGCAGGTTTTTATGCTGCTCACTTACAAACAAAAATAAAGAGAAACAATGCAAAAAAAACACAAGATGGCAGTCTACAGAAATAATCTCAATTGCCATAATAATACAAAGACACATCTCTGCAGCATATCAACAAAATAGTCATGGGAAAGTCCACAAATATATTTATGGACAAGCACTTAAGTCTAAATAATAATCCTTACATTAACTCATATTTCACATATTCACACACAAAACCGTAGTTGCAGACCTGAAGTATTATAGTATCATTAGCATATTAACTCAGTAGATTTCACTGCTCAGACACAAGCTCTTCTAGAACCCATTTATAAAATACGATAAAGAAATTATGTTCTTACCCACAGCACGATGCAAACATGCCAGGTTCCTGTGTACACTGATGGATGGTATCTTCAGTTCAATGAGCTGCCGTATTGTTGTCACACTGATATGTGCTCGGACCATTGTGGAGCTTCTGTCGACCCTAAGAAACGAGATCAAACACTAAAATACATAAAACAATTCATGTCTATAAGTGATATAAAGTTTCTCTTCTGCAGTGAATGGAGGTGCGGAGTTACATATTAAACCTTGCAACTGATACAAGAGTGAACTGCACACTCTGCTGCCAGGACTTGTCAGGCTCTGTTAGTAATTAACCTTTGGACCTTTGTCCTGCATAACTTCCCAGCCAAAACAGAACAGATGTAAGAATCTGCTTTATGACTGGCTATGTCCTGAAAAATTTAGTTTTTTCCTGTTTGCCTGCAGGTTTGAGCCTGCCAAATGTAAATTATTAGTTAAATGCTAGTTTAAATAGATTTTTTGTTTACAATATGTAATGAATTCATGACCAAAACTCTGCTTTGACTCACCTGGGAACTGTCAGTGGTTTCCATTATGTGAAATATTGACAATAATTAGAAATTGAGCCGTGCATACTTCATCTGAAGAATTAAAAAATATATATATAAATGAGAAAAATTTGTAAATATGTAGTTTAAACAGTTGGAGAACTGATTAATTCAATATTTAGTTCAGCTGGAAGTGAACTTCTCAATTAATCTTCTACTTAATGGTGGAAGAAGTACTCAGGTCCTTTACTTAAGATTGAAATAACAATACTGTAATATAAATATATAAAGTGGTAGTAGTAAGCATACCTAAAGCATGAAAACTGAAAGTACCCATTAACAAGAGTGTTTTATTAAAACAAATTAAAAACACTTCCTTCACAGGTTTGCTGACATTTTCAATAAAGTTCTGCCCAGAATGACCCTGACTATGACCTGGCTGTAAACTTTTTGTTGTGGAAATTGTGTTTCAATGTGATCTTCACAGTTAATTTATATTTTATATAGTCACAGTCAGGGTCATTCTTAAAATGATTTTTTTTAATGTAAGTTCAAATATGAGGGAATTATCAGGGTCTTACAATGTTCTTTGAGGTGGCTTTCCCTTTAATTTGATTCACATCTGTACAGTAAAATTACTATTTATTATGATGGTAGTCAGAATCGCTATGAACAGAAATTTTAAGCAATCCTTTAAAAAAAGGGTTCAAATATGAGTTAACAGTCAATGAGTTGCAATTTATTTTAACTTTGCCTTTAATGTTCTTCAAAACAGAGCATATAAATGCTCTCAAATTGTTAACATTCAAAGATCTTGTAAGTAGAAATCAATGGGACAGCGGTTTAATATTAAATATAATGAGGGGTTTCCTATGAGTTAGGCTACAAGGTATCTGCTTGAGGATTTAAGAAACGACGGCTCATGAAGCGCAGTCGTGTATTTCCAATCTGTCACTTCTTCTGTTTGCAGACACACAGTTTATTTATGTTTGGGCTGTCAGTGAACAGTAAATCAAGTTATCTTACCAATACAAGTCCTTTTAGTTGCACAGAAAGTTCCGAAGCAACTTTACGAGCAACACTGAACTAAAGGAGCCATAGAAAGGGGGAGGGCTTGACCCCTTCTGCTTTGGATGACGTTGATCTTTATTATGTATTTAATTTTAGAGGAAATCAGCAAATCTTCGCATTTGAGAAGCTAAACCCAGTCAATGTTTGGTATTTAGTGCTTGATGAATTACTTAAATTATTAATTACTTATCAACTTTGTTTTGTTTAATGACTACTTGATTAATCAACCAATTGTTTCAGGTCTAAAATACAGTTTAGATTAGTAGTGGAAATAATAGATGATACTGTGAAAAAGAATAAATGTTGCTATGACAATATGTCAGTCTGAGTAAAGTCAATAATATGTTGTAATTATTTATTCTGCGATGTTAAATCGTAAACCACATTTCTTTTTTTTTATTGAGAAAAACTTAAACTTTACATTATTTTGCTCTTACTAACAATAAACAAACAATGAAAAATATTTTTATGTATTCGCTACAAATGTTATATTTGAAACTACTGTTACAACTTCCGGAAGGTAAAAGGGAAAGTATTTCAAAATAATAGTTTTCTTACATATATAGAAATGTAAAAAAAAACTACTCGGTTACAAAAATCATTAAGTGCATCGTGGACAGCACAAATGTAGACATTTTATCTCTCGGTTGTTTGCAGTGAACTAATTTCGCAGGAAAACTAGTCCAGATTGACTCGGTTAAGCGTCTAAAGTATTTTACACTGAAGATAAAAGCTAGCGGTTGAGTTTTCCTTCCGGGTCAAACACTGTGACTTCCGTGTTGTTAACAAGGTTTAGCCAGCAGACTGAAGGCCCCGTTGATTAAAGGTACAGTTTTTAAATATAGAAACCAACCCAAGGGATTAATACGGCAGCCTGAAACCTTCCCAACCCAGCAGTGAGGTTTGTATGAGCTGTCTTTGTGTTTTATTCAACTGTTGAGCCGCTCCTCTGAAACACAACAACCGTGCTAACAGGCTGTAACTTCACTTGTTGGTCCTCCTCCGACACCAGGACACTTTTTAACACCCGCGGTTAAAATGTCTAACTGGATATTTATGTTCATTTGAATTGAACGACGCTTATTTAAATACTTTACTCACTCGTCAAACAGAGCTAACCAGCTGAAAACTGGTTTACGTCATGTTTCGCTTTTTATGTTAAGATCCGTGAAGTTGTGTTGGTGGAAAACAGACGAGACTGAAAGAGCTCCTTTTTAAAGCTCCTGTTGCAAAGAGCTCCCTTGTGAAGAGTCCTGTTTTTGAAGAAAGCTCCTGTGATAGCTCCTATAATAGCCTGCTGTTGGCTTTAAATGTGAATATAGGGTCACACAGTCAGTGCTCGATGCACGCAGTGGGGCAGAAGTGTCTCAGTAGTGTGCTCTGCTATATGTACAGTGCTGCTGCTCCTGGTTAGTGTATTTTGTGTAGCTGTCATTACAGCTGCTCAGAGACTGCAGCCAATGATGGTTAGACTGGCACATTTACACACATTAGAGTATGTCCCTGTAACTTTAATCTGTAGAAATACATTTAAAACAGATACATATGTTCATGTACAGGCAGGTGTTTTCATACAGAGGTAGATGCATGTCCATGTTCTTGGGTCAGTTTAGTGAATTACAGCTTTTCTGTTGAATATCTTGTATATGAATGTGACGGATCACAATCGTCTCGTAAACAAGGACATTTTACAATTTAGAAAAAAACAACACAACTGAGGGATCAATCTTAAGATTGTTGTTAATATAAATAAACTTACTTCAAAAATATAATAATAAAACTCATTCCTTCCTTCCCACTATTGCAAAAGGTAACTTTTTATCTGTATTCAAAGTTTACATTTGATATACGAAAGATAAAGGGACACCGTTGTATTGATTACATTCCTGGCCTATTGACAATGATTAGTAATTGACTCTGTAAACTAACTCTGTGGCTGTAATAACTGTTTGTTCTTAAACTAATCACATTCTTCACAGACCAGCACTTGGGTTTTTCAAACTGCTGCTGCACCTAAATTCAAACCTATATTAATATTGTATCTGTTATGATAAAGAGACATAAAGGCACCTCACAGCAATGCACTTGGCTGTATTGTTACTGAAATAGCCACAATCCTCCAGTTGCTGTCCTATTTCTGTGTAATAAAGCTGTTTGCAAACTCAAGATGTGAAACATGTTAATTAAATGTGATCGTTATGTGTTTCAGATTTTGAGATTACACGCAGGTCACACTGGATGGGCCAGCTGGTAACAGTCGGGGCCAGCTGTTAACATCCTTTGGGCCTGTACGTGTAACATCAGTTCACAATGGCCAGTCACTTCCGTAGCTACATCTGGGACCCGGTCCTCATTGTGAGTCAGATTGTGTTGATGCAGTGCATCTACTACAGCTTCTTGGGCCTGTGGTTGGCTGGAGTGGACAGTCTAGTGCAAAGCAGTCGGTCACTGGATCAGATCTTCAGCTATGAAGTAAGTTATACGATCTCTCTGTGACCATCTGTGTAGTGTGTGTCTGTCGCACATTTCTACCCTCCTGAAACGTTCTTTAAATCTTGGCTCTACTTTGGCAGGCCCTTGGCTTTGCAACGATGCAGGGTCGGCTCTCAATGATGGCGTTCATCTTGAACTCCCTTACCAGGTAAATTAGTTCTTCATTTGTACAAAGAGATGAGAACTGTGACACCTCTTACTAAAATGCTGTTGTTCAAGCATCTCCTGATAAAAACTTTCAAAGGTTGTAATTGACACCTGCACAAATGATCCACCAGTAGGACTAAACACTGTTTAAAAAGATGTATATTCACATAGGATAATGATTTCTATAGAGTCGATATGTGGCAGGACTTTACATTGTACAGTTACATAACATTTACAGTTACTTTGCAGGGTCGTCTTTGTATCCACACAAATCTTTTGTCAAACATAAATGAGCACAGCTGAACTTTTTCTGTATCCTTGTGTCGTCAGCGCCCTCGGTCTGTGGTTCTTCATCCGTCGAGGGAAACAGTGCCTGGACTTCACAGTCACTGTGCACTTCTTCCATATGATCGGCTGCTGGATCTATAATTCACATTTTCCAGCCGCCCTGTCCTGGTGGCTTGTCAATGTAGCCTGCATGGCACTGATGGCTGTAATTGGAGAGTACTTGTGCATGCGGACTGAGCTCAGGGCTATCCCAGTCAATAGTGGACCGAAATCTAACCTGTGAAATTGTGTTGACACCACACTGAAAGTCTGTGGACGGTTAACCCCTGAGGAACTGGCTCAGAGGGGGTTTTTCACTGCTCTGCAAAAGAAATGGTGTATGAACCTCTGTCAGTGTAGACGTTGGATTGTCACCCATCTCCTCTTCAAGTGATTCACCAGAAGAACTGATCTATTTATTCACAACTGTCCAAGAAATGTTGGACAGTATTAACTCTGTAGCATACTAAGATATGTGTTTTAATGCTGTTGAAAGCAGACATCAGTTTACACATTTCTCTGAACCTAATGACTATAGATTTGATTTTTTTCTTAGTAAATACATTTTTTGTGTTCATTTTAAGCACAATTGCATGAGCATCCCATTCCCTCAATTTGAGATTTACACGATTTCTTCTTATTTGTTATTTTTGCTTATGTACACGTCTTCGCACACAGGAAATGACAAATTGAAACTTCAGAGCAAATACAAACTGTCTTAAAACAGCAGCAAGAGAGCAACACATGTCAACAGCAGACTTTTCCCTTCTCTTTGTGTTTGTATAATGAGCTTGGCAAACAAACACGACCATCATGTTACAAGATGTTTTGGTTTTAAAATGAAAATGTTCCAGTTACATTTCAGTTTAATGTGCAAGGTTACCTATCACAGCTTTTATTAGAGCTGCGTCTAAAAGTTAAACGTTGGGTAACAAGCTCAGTGTGCAAACAGGTATACTGATATACGATAGTCAATCATTGTGTGAAGCCAAGAGTTCCCTGATTTATAATCTCAACACATAATGGGTCAGAAGTATAAAATCAGGCTTATTGTTTTATCTCTCCGGGTAAGGTTTGTACATTCAGTGTCGTAATTCTCATTTTAGACCTTCCTTGTCAAGCTTGTACAGCATTTTGCACAGCTAGTGTCGTTTGTTTCCGTCTCTTTATGTCATGATGTATTATGCAGTCGATGTGGCCTCTTTGGGGACAGTTTGTCAACCACCAGCTGTGTTCTGACAGCAGGCGGTGTCCCTGAAAACACTATTACTGATTGTGGGGCCATGGCTTGAAAAGTACTGAAATGTGTAGCTCTGATGGTTTCTGGAACAATATCAACTTTAACATTTAATGATGGTTTTTAAAACCCTGTCTGCATTATAATTATTATTAGATAAGTACAGGTCCTGTAACACATACACATCTTTTTATTCTGTGTGGTGACTGTCAGATCAAACCTTTGCAGCTTTGATAGTGTGGACTATGCAGTGTCTTGTTTTGAAATCAGGTAGTATAAGAACATCAGTATGCTGCAGGGGTTGATATTTAAAGGTTGTACAATAGTTTGACATTTTGGGGAATACACATATTCACTTTCTCGCTGAGAGTTAGATGAGAAGATCAGTACTACCTTTGTGTCTGTCCATGAAATATGAAGCTACAGCCAGCAGGTTGTTTGCTCAGCTTAGACTGGAAACTTGGAAAAAGTAATATTCCTGCACCTCTTAGGCCCGCTTATGAAAATGTTATATCTTATTTGATTAAAACCAAAGTATAAAAATGACAAGCTGTACTTTTTACAGGGGATATGTGCAGAACTATATCTTGGCCAGGTGCAGTGTCTTCCTGGAGTCTCCTGGACACTGATTTGTTTGTACGGACTGAATAAATGAGACATAACGTGTTCATTAATGAGCTGAAGAGGAGCCAAGCTATCTGTTTCTCCCTGTTCCCAGTCTTCATGCTAAGCTAAGCTAACCGGCTGCTGGTGGTAGCTTCATATGTATTGCACGTAAGAGTGATATCAATCCTCTCATCTAACCCTCGACTATTAAATACTATTAAGAGTACTCAGCCAGCGTCACCCTGTTATTTGATCATTTTTTAACAAAGGCTGCTCTGAAGGTTTTCACATGCAATGCTACTCTTTGTATTCTTTGCCATAAACGTTCCTTTTTATAATGTATTTAAATTCAGAGAACTCGAGAGATGGACCTATTCATGTAAATCAATTTGCTGACTTGTTTCTAGTGCAGGAACATAACGGACAAGGTGTACATATTTTTCTTTTTCCTCCTCTGTGAAGATTTAAATATAGGGTGTTGGCACCAGCATCAAGCAGCTATCGTACAGTGTAAGTACTTTGTGCATATGCTGTTAAATAAAATACTACCAGTTCATATGGATCGGGAAAAAAGTGTAAAACTGCAGGTGAAAAAATAATTGGCCATTATGCTTCAGACGTCAAAGATAAGTCTTCTAATGATGAGCGCGCGTCTTTGGATCTCTGATAGTTTTCCACCCCGGGCCCCCGACCCTTCATTTTCTCCCTCAGCTGCGGAAGTGTCCAGGTGGAAGGAAGCAGATGGGAGAGTGCTAACGAGTTGAAAGAGGCTGGTTGTGATCCTCATTACCAACGCTTTGCTTCAGGGAGGGCTAAAAACAGAAACTACTGTAGTAAATGAGTCGTACAACAGAGGACTTACTGGATCGATTAAATGTTCCACTATTTTACCACTATTTGTGTTTCCGTCATTTTGCTGAAGGTGATGCGCACACATATATACACACACTGTATGTTTTAAACATGGTGCTTTATTATTACAAACACATTTCTTTGCCATATATTGCTTTATACAGTCTTGTAATTAGTGTGCTTTTCTATCAGTAAACAGAAAAAAAAACATGGATATTGAACTTGTTTTACATTCAGAAGTTCTTTCCATGTTTAAATTGTCTTTATGGTTTTTTTCTCGTGGTCTAATGCTTATGATAACACAATCATTTTCATGCTTTCTTCAACAGCATATGAAGGGATAAGAGTTCTCTCTTTAGAGGTGACCGTACATATTGCTCATGCTTTGAGGACATCACAACTGTTTTTTGTATTCTCACCACCAGACACACAATGGATGACATAATGCTACCACTCGTGTAACATGAAATAAATAGGAACAACTAGAACAAACATGCTAATGGAGGTAAGGGAGGTGGGGGTGGGTGGGGTAATGAATCTGCATAAAAAGGATGCTGATACACTGAGGAACTATTAGCCTAACTTCATGCACAGGTCAACGCCACTGTACACTTTTGTCCAAGGTAAAATCAACAGACGGTTCATTATTCTGAAGCACTGTCACTAAAATGATCATGCATTTGTGACAAAAGAGAAGATGGAAAATATTCAAGGACCGCAGTAATCATCCAAAATGTGATCGTGTCTGTTGGGACCGTGAGTATTGTGCAAATGAGGACAGTTTTTGAAAAACAAAACCAAACAAAACCAAACAAATAGATGCTATTGCTTATTCATTTTTAATTTGTTCGGAAACTAGGCGACTGTTGCAGTAATAGTAAAAGCATCTTTGTAAAGGAAATTTAACGTAAGTGGTTAAAAGGCCATTACAATTAGCGATATCTCATGGGGGTTTTATGGCTAAATGAGTGGGAATGATACAAACTGTTGCACCCATTAACTCACTTCTGTTGATGAGATTCATGGCAGTCGTCGTTTGCTGCTTAACATTTGGGGATTTTGTTTTCAAAAATTGATCAAAAGATTAAAACAGATAAATAGGGCACCAGATTTGGAGTCTATTTAGTCTAACAATATAATTATGCAATGGATTAATGGGTCAATCTTTAATTGAAATAATATTGATACAAAAGCAATTTTATGGATATTTTACAAAAATAAACCTTTTTTTTTTGTATTACAACAGCAGTTAATTTTGCTATTGCATAATATTAGGCTTCATTAGAGATTAATTATAGGCATTTAATGTAAAGTAAATACTGTGTGGGAGTACCCAGGCATTAAAATAGGACTATTCAGAGAATTCTCATTATTACCTTGGGATTCATGATTATACAGATTCCTCTTTGAATATCTGATCTGGTCTATCTGTGTACTGTATCACATTTCTGTAATATTGTCTTGATTGCAAAGTGAGCATTTTCGCACAAGGTGGAACAGAAATGGGTGAAACAACACTGAGCATCCACACTTCAGATTTTCTTATTACACACAAACATCAACAGGTCAGAAGTTTGATCGAGCTTAAGACTGAACCAACGCGAGGGCGAGGCTGTGAGAGAGTATGAGAGGAGCTGGAGAGGTGAGCGTGTGACGATGCCGTGTCAGATGTCTGTTTTTGGTGTCTTTATAGCAGCCGTGCAACATTAACCACAGTGGGTTGAAGTGTTGGGGGGTGGGGATGGGGGGAGGGGGGCATCAAAAGTTTTAT